CATGAGGGAAAAGAAGTGTTGGGGGATAATATCAAATAGGCAAGAGAAGATGGGACCTTGATGCTTTCTTGACTGGTTTCACATTGGCTAGGATCTGGAAGTTGACAGTCCATATATTAATAATAATATTTAAGATAAGTTTTTGGAATTGAAGTGTAGGAAAATCAGAAATCACAGGGTGGACTGGTGTATTGTTGGTTGTGTTTTGTGAGAGTCCTATTAGAGAAAGGGGAAAAGTACAAAGTTACTACAAAAGTAGTAATTTTAAAATGGAATTCATGAATCTCATAGGGTTAATAGCCAGGAAATGATAAGGTCAAGGGAAGAACACAGAAATGTATGGTAGGGGGCTAGAGAGATGGCTCAGTGTTTAAGAGCACTGCCTGCTCTTCCAAAGGTCCTCAGTTCAATTCCCAGCAGCCACATGGTGGCTCACGACCATCTGTAATGAGGTCTGGTGCCCTCTTCTGGCCTGCCGGCATCCATGCAGATAGAATACTGTATACGAAAGAAAGAAAGAAAGAAAGAAAGAAAGAAAGAAAGAAAGAAAGAAAGAAAGGACCAAGGAAGGGTAGGAAAGAGAAAGTAAAGTTACTGCAATTAAGCATGTGCAATTATTTAAATGACTGCTGAGAGTCAGTAGAAATCCATAGGCACCGACACATGGTCGCAGACACACACACACACACACACACACACACACACACACACACACACAGACAGACAGACACAGAAAGAAAAAGAATAAAAGATGAGGGCTTAAAATGTAGGAAGAAGGGAGGTCACTTGTTGGTTCCAGGCCAGCCGGATAGCTTAGAATAGAAATAGTCACACAGAAACTATTTTAGTTAAACCACTGCTTTGCCAATTAGCTCTAGCTTCTTATTGGCTCTTATATATTAATTTAACCCATTTCTATTAATCTGTGTATTGCCACATGACTGTTGCTTGCCAGGTAAAGTTCCTTGTGTCTGTCTCTGGTAGCTTTATGGCTTCTATCTGATTTCACCCTTCTTTCTCCCAGCATTCAGTCCAGTCCTCCCTGCCTAGCTCTGTTCTGCCCCACCTTGCTCTGCTAAAGACCCAAAGCAGTTCTTTATTCATTAACAGGAATCACAGCAAACAGAGGGAAATCCCACATCACCTCCCCTTTTCTTTTTAAATAAAAAGGAAGGCTTTGACTTTAACATAGTAAAATTACATATAACAAAACAGGTATCAAGCAAGAATTGCAGTTACAATGTTTATATCTACTTTATCTTTTATCATAATTAACAAAAACTATATCAACTTTCTATCTATTTTTTAACTCCATCAAAGACTCCAGAAGGATATAATATTACCTAAGTAAATAGGAGGTACATTGTAAGCAACTTCCAAAACTCTAGAATTGACAGAGATATTTTACTGTTTGGACAGTCACCCAATGTTCTTCTGTACTGTAGGAGCACCTGCTACGGACCGGCTCAGGGGAGCCACTCAGACCATAAGGGAATCAGGGCGAAGGCACAGGAGAGATCAGGATACGGCGAGGAAAGTGACACACAGACACTCTCAATGTTTTTGAGACATGCTGTTGCGATTTACTTACTTCAGTGCAGGATTATATATTATTACAAAACAAAGGACTTGGCAAAGGCAAACATCATCAGATCATAAAATAGGAAAGAACGGCATAAAACAGTTTTTCAAAGAGAATCTTTAAAGATGCTTTGGCATGAGTACAAGGACTTTTGCTTTCTTACATTTGTAAAGTTACCCCTTCTTTTTTCTTGTTATTAGAGAGACCATTGTTCTTGAGTTAGCCCAACTTTAACAGCTTGTACCAGGTGGCTGACTTGGGCTCAGCTAAGTGACCTTGTGTGTGTGGGTGAGAAAGAAGAAGGCTACTATCTTCCTGGAAAACTTTCTGAGACTCATTTTGTACCATTAATCTCAACTCCTTTCCCTTCCCGACTCTCAGGGTCAGATGCTATAATTAGCCTAGGTTTTCTGGCCATAAGGAAGGTTGCATAGGCCTCTTGTTAAGTTGTACATAAATGCCTAATGCTGTTTCCCTGTAGAAGGCTTCTAAGGTTTTTTTCTGCTAAGATTAACTCCTTTTATTCCACATCATCAAGCAATCGTCCTAATGATGATTTTGGCAATTCCCAGAACTGGCTACTTTTTTAAGGCTTTAATTAATAGTGGAGCAGAATCCAAAAATGTCCTCAGCAGTCTTGTTTATATCCACAACTGCCTGGAATAGTCTGATCTGTTAGCAATATGTAAAGATCACAAAGAACACACAGACAAGGGAAAAGACACACATATGGCTCCAAGGACAGCCAGGTCGAGTCAGTACTAATGGCGACTCAGGTAGCATTACACCACAACTGGTTGCCAAGGGACCGCCTGGAACACACAGCTCCTTGAAGCACCAATCCCAATCCTGCCGGCAATATTTGCCCATCCAGTCAGCATTTCTGCTACACTGGCGAGACAGCCGTGGAGGTAGCAAGCACCCATCTTCAGCCTACAGGCCCATAGTATCCAGCAGACTTTTCCATCAAGCAGGAAATTTCAAAGACATTTCCACCTACATTAGCAGTATTTAGTCATTTTCTTCTGTGTCCTGCAGAATGTCTAACAGACTCTTTCATGAAGCAAGAACCCCAAAGGATTGTCTCTCCTTTAGAGAAGTTTAGCAGTCATTTCTCTGTGGATTATGCATGTCCAGTTCATCAAGCAGTCCAGGCAAGAGCAGTTTATTACCCAAATGGCTAACCAACTCCATAAGGAGCTTCTTTGATGCTCATCTTGAAGTAATTGGCGCTGCCAGGAGCAGATGTGTCTCATGTCATAAAAAGTCCTAACTTCTTAAAACATTTTAAATGCCATATTCTGAAGGTCTCTGAAAGATTCAAAGAATGCCTATCTAGCTAAAAAAATCTCTATATATCTAGAAAACCTAACTAGCATGACTACTAGTTTGACTATTATAGATGACTATCCATTAACCTATATTTCATAATTACACATTACATTTTTAAATGAGTTGGACAAACATAATACCGTAATCAAGATCAGAAATATATATACACAGTATAACAACATTGACCTTAAATTTGTATCAATAAAGCAAGATCCATACCAATGCAAAGTATCCATTTATATAGTATATCCCCCTTTAAATGTAAACAAATATTTGGGAATATGAGTGCCGTTCTGTCCAAACTTTTCCCTGCTGTTTATTGGGTAAAGTAATTTTCTTAGGGGTGTTCAAGATAACCTTTCAGGGTATCTTGTCTGTCAAACCATATTAGCTGGAATGAATACACAGGGTCTCATCCTTTGTAGAAACAAAAGAAGGACCTCTTTTTCAAAGCAATATATACTTAGACCCAAATTCTGAAGTCAAGATACATTTATGATATACATGCTAGTTTAGCTTAGCAGCCCATACAATGCATTGTCTCTCTGTACTTATCTCTTTCACAGTCAAAAAAATTCAAAGAAAACACAATATATACATTATTCAGATTCTCTGTGTATACTCCATCTTTACATGGCTTTTCTTACTCTTTTATTTTTAATATTTATTTTATTATCTTTACTCCTTTAATCTATGACTATCTGTACTCTCTCTTTAAAGACTTTGTTTTATTTTTTATAAACCATTTATTTCCTTTTTGGCTCTCTATTTCTTCTCTCTCCCAAGTCTACTTATATTTATCTAACATTGTGACCCATTTAGAGGTCTTTTATGTCTGAATCTGTCCTGTTGTGCATCTGTAATTCATTACTTTCCAGGAGCACTTCTTAAAATGCTAAGCACTTCTTAAGAACTTAAGCTGTGGCATTACTAGGGTACATACAGTACTTTCTTCTTGCTCTACACAGTCTAACATGGTGGAAGTTTGTTCACCGCCTCTGCAAGCCATACACATTGCCCTAGTTTTAGGCACAAAGTTGGTCCATGTTGCTACCAAGCAAGCCGTTGCTTACAAACTCCATCAAATGCTCTGTCTCCTTAAAGAGCCAGAGGTCACTCTGGCAGCATGGCCCAGAAAGCAGGCATTTTAAAACAACGTGACTTTTTTTCTGCTATAGCTGAGTCAGAAAAACCTCTCTTAAAGGAGCTATGGCATGTTGCCAGCAAACAGCAAGAAGCTGTGTTAAATTCGGTATTTTTGTGACTAGAAGCTCTCTCAGGTTTTTAAGTGGATTTTAGTTTTCCACATTGGTACCAATTTGTAGAAAGTAGGAGGCTTATTGGTTCCAGGCCACCCGATTAGCTTAACACAGAAATAATCACACAGAAACTCTATAAATTAAATTACTGCTTGGTCTATTAGCTCTAGCTTCTTATTGGCTAGCTCTTGCATATTAATTTAATCCATTTCTATTCATCTGCGCATTACCATGTGGCTGGGGTTTACCAGGTAAAGTTCCCATCATCTGTCTCCCGAAGCTCCATGGCTTCTCTCTGCCTCTGCCCTTCTTTCTCCTAGCATTCAGTCCAGTCCTCCCTGCCTAGCTCTGCTCTGCCGTCTTGCTCTGCTATAGGCTCAAAGCATTTCTCTATTCATTAACAGTAATCATAGCACACAGAGGGAAATCCCACATCATTAAAATGTCTGAGACACTGAGATTGGAACTGAGTGCTTTTCTGAAAGAGAAAAAAAAAATGGCAAGAAACAGTGGCCAGTTCCCATAATATAAAGGGTTCAGAAAAGAAACAGTCAGTAATTTCAAATGATTTTAAAGATTTAATACTATCAGGATATAGCTAAAGAAAACAAAAACTCAAATTGGAAGGGGCGTTTCCTGATGATTCTCAAGTGGGGAAAATAACAAAAAAAACCAACAATATTTAGATTCTTGTAAGTAAATAATGAGATAGATAAGGATGAGTGTTTAGTTATAAAGGTATTGTTGATACATAAAATTGGTGGAATGGTAATGAAGTTATGAGTGTTGGGAGAGAGATTCATTGTATCCTTTGGGTATCTTTCCAGAGACAGCATTGTTCAAGTTCTCACACTTGCCTTCCACTGATGGAGGTGAGGAATCTGAATGGATGGAGGCTTCCTCTGAAGACCCAAAAACTGTCATCAGTGTTGCTGATGGTGACTGTAGGAACTGTGCTTACACTATGACTGGATGCTCTTTTAATCACTTTCACAATCATCTGAAGAAGAGACAATTTTTCTGGCTTTGGTGTACCAGACCTTGTTCCACACCTTCTTCATTCATTATACTCAACTAACCCTCACAGTCACTCACTCTGTAGAGTAGGCATTTTTCATTTCTATTGGACTTGGTTCCCTTGTCTAACATGTCAGATGAGTAGATTAGTGTAGAACAAGTTCCCTAAAATCCATCTATTTACTAAGAGAGCCAAATCTAGGTCATAACTTGGTGGGATTTCTGACTTCACTATGTCTTTCCCAAATATAATATTATTAAAGTCAAACCTGCTTTTACCTTTGACTGTAGCACTATAGCTGAAAACAATGTTTCTACAGGCACATAATGATTGTTTCAGTCATCAAAGAATAATTTTATACTGTTTATAGTTGGGAAATAACTAAAATTCACATTTGTGGTGTACCATTTAAGATATATCACAACCGTTATCATAGATTAGAATTTGTCGCCAAACCACAGATGTTGTATATTTAGGGAAAACAACTGCATAGAGAAATGTAGTCACTATAGAGCCTGGGCTCAGCTAATGGCAAGATCTGTTGACTAGGAATATTTATTTTAAATCTATGCCACATTATTTACTATTCTAGAAAACAGTCACAGGGATCCCCGTTGGCCAAATGCAAATATTCACATTGTAAGAAGGAATAAACAAAGATAGACAGATAGAGATAGATAGATAGATAGATAGATAGATAGATAGATAGATGCCAAAATACAATATAAGAACAAAAGAAGTAAAGAATACAACAAATTTTTATAGAGACGAGAAATGATGAAAACAGGACAATCTCTATAACAGCAGTTGACTGCAGCAAGAAAATCACAAAGGAATGATGGACAGAGTCATAAAATGTGACTAAGAATCTATAGTGCCACAGATAATGACATTAACCATTTACCAAGTTCCTCCTTATTGGCTCTGCAGAAGGATTCATTTCTGAATATCTGCATAGTTCTCCTCACCAACTACAGAGGTTTCTGCTATTTTTACTTTCTATAAAGGGTACTAAGGACCAGAAAACCTAAGCAACTTTTAAATGACAAAGCTTACTTGGACCAATAGTTCTAAATTCTGTTGCCTTCTTAACCTCCATAGAAGCATAAAGGACATTCTTCAGAAGAGACAATTAAGCTTTAATAGAAATTTTATCATGACTTTTTCTGAGCTATTCATTAGGAATAACACATCTTCCTACCACTAATAATGTTATTCAAAACTAGTTATTTCTAAGATTAAATAATAAGGATATTTGGATGTTATTTCATTGTTGGAGCTATTTAAAAATTATTAAATAAAAATTGAAAAATCAGTCAGAGTTGTTCACTGTAAGACTCTCTCAAAAAACATTAAATTACTCTTCAAGAGAAAAGAAGTAACTTTTTGGTTGTTTATTTCTTCTTGACAACACAAGTTTGGTGTATTAATGACATAGAATAAATGTAGTATTTGTTAAAGGAACTAATACTAGAAGATTAAACTGATCTCAGATCAAAAATAAACACTTATTGTTCAAAAACTCTACATGCTCTTTTAAAGACAATACACACACACACACACATATGTATTTTATGCCATTAAAAATAAAGGCAATGATAGGCATAGTAAATTCATGAAGATAAAGCAGAAACATGGAGAAGAATCCAAGAAGAAATTGTAGGATATTTAAAATCTGGTTTTCCAATCATTTTAAGCCCATTACTAAGATGTGAGTTACAAACACCAACCTTACAAAATGAACGTAATAGCTCTAAACAAACTGACCTAGTTGTGTAGACCTGTATTTCAGCTCTTCAAGAAGCTATGCATAAGGATCCTACAAGTTCATTACTCTTATGTTTCACAGAATGTGTACAAAGTGAGTTTGGACAACTTAGTGAGAGAATTGCTTGGGAGATGGGCCTTTTGGCATGACTTGCTATGGTTATTTAGATTAAATTAGTTGAACTGGGTAGACCTGCCTGCCCATTGTGAGTTGCATTGATTCTTTGGACTGGAATCCCTAATTGAAAAGGAAAAAAAAATCTGAGCACAAACATTCATCATACTTTGTTTCCTGATTGTGAATTCAACTTTTTCCATTGTCATGCCTTCCCTGTCATAATGAACAATATTCCCTGGAACTTTAAGCCAAATATGAACTGTTTATTTTTTAAGTTGCTTTATTGGATGCTGTGTTGCTTTTTTGGATGTTGTGTTAGACAATTAATAGATAGTATAGAACAACTGAAAAGTGTGAAGAAACTTAAGAAAGACACCAAAAATAAGCCAAACTGAACACAGTCATAGCTTCATGGCTACCCATTTCAGGGAAAGACATAGGACCTCATCCAAATGTATGTCAGGAAGCATACCTTAGATATCAGTCCTAGCCTCAGGACCAGCTCAATGCTAAAGAGTTTTTAATCCAGTTGCAGGTTTTAGGGAAACTGTGATTCCTCTAGTGGATGGGTCAACAATAAGAAAATACTATTTTCTTACTCTATAAGACTTTAAAGACATTGAGAAGCATCTTATGCTTTAAAACTGAACTACACTATGTTTCTGAGAACAAAACAACAAGGCAGCTGTTTATCACCTGGCTATTTAGTGTGATAAATGCCCAGGGATTGGTAGTGAAGAGAAGAAAAGCATGATACCAAAAAGCTGTGAAAGAAAGATGAGTCTCAGCTCAGACAGTGAAGTGCAGAATCCTGATATTAGTGGTCAAGACCTGATCTCACCAATTGGGAAGAACATCAGGCATTGATAACTCTGAAGTCAGCAGGTAGTTCACCTTCTGGAGCCATATACCCTTCAGTATGGTATTTAGGAGATTTTAAAAGTACAGGTCTCGGTGTTGTCATGGCTTTTCCACACTCCTAGTGTATGTGAGTGATTCTTCAGCTAAAACCTTAGTCACTCCAGGGAGAACAATCTAGAGATACTCAGGCTTGTGAAAAAAAGAAAAAAAACCATATACTACCCACAGACTTCAAAGCTCAGTGTGAGAAGTTTATATTTAGGAATACATATACATATATGCAGGTAAAAGCAATTAATGAAAAAAATGAAGCCACAAATTTTAAAAATAGGAAGAAGAGGTATATGGGAGTGTTTGAAAGAAAAGGGGGGAATGAGAAATGATGTAATTGTATTATACCCTCAAAAATGAAATAAAAAGAAATTTAGGAAATACCAGAATTATAAACATATACATACACATGTGTGCATGCAAAAAAGGAAGGAAGGAAGGAAGAAAGAAAGAAAAAAAGAAAAAGAAAGAAAAATAAGCAGTGTGATCAGCAGAGGACCCTGGAACACAGAAAAGAGAGCTTCTAAATTTAAGAGCACTCTGGTAAACAATTGTCCAATACAGGCTCAAGAAGATTCCATTACTTCAGTTGAATACTGACTCCTAAAAATAATTGGAAAATAATTGAGCTGAAAGTACTCTAAAATTCAACAATTTTACTCTCAAGGATATTAAGGCTATCACCAGGGCTTCTTCTCATTTCTACCTTTTGTTCACAAGTATCAAAACCTAAACTCTTCTCTGATTTTTGTAAGTATCCAGGTATATGGCCAGACTGCTCTGTCTTCTGGTACGCACATCAGACATGTTTGATTTGTGACCTGTAGTTTTCATGTAGT